TTTTTTTTTTTTTTTTTTTTTTTGTAATAATAAAGTATAAATAATAATTATAACTATTTTTGTTTGATTGTCAAGATTCTTATGGAATTTGGCAAAATATTTCCAGATATAGCCGAAGAGAATCATTGGGATTGTAAAATCCCTAATAAAACCATTAAGTTTTTTGAAAAATTGCCTTTATTTATGTGTACGCTTTCCTGGGTGTTTATCCACATCTGTATCACATTTTTTTACAATCTAGTATTCTTCACAAATTGCTAAATAAAATTGTATATTTCAAGTATTTCTAAAAAAAATTTCTCCTCTATATACAGAGTATTTCTTTTATCATAAAGCACTTAACTAATAAAAAACAAATATAATATTCATGATTTATTTTTTGTTTCCTTTGTTGCATAATTTTTCAGTTTATCAATCATTATTTTATATTCATCCCATATGTCTTATAAGGGTGTGAACTTTATTTTTTTAATTGGTACATATACAGATGTCTCAGATCTAACTGACAACTCGAAATTATTTGAACTTAAAAATCCAAGTATGCACAAAAAAATGTATACTTCATAGTAATTTTACCAAATGCGATTTCTCATAATATAAGAAATATTGTATATGTATTATATCGTGCACAACCCAAATAAAGTGATAAGACTATTTGGGTGATATGTTATGTAGTAATTATTGTACTAATTTATCAAATGGGAGGACACGATTGCAGGCTTATCAATTTTCTTGAAACATACCATTACTCTTAAATAAATTATTTAGATATTGGTCTAAGGAATTGAATGAGCTTTGAATTTTAATATAATATATCAACAGTAAATATTTTAATATTATATTAATTATGGCTGTACGTATTGCTAATAAAATTTTACAACAATCTAAGTATCTCGGGTTCACTAAAGGTAAGAAGTGAAATTTGATACCAAATTATAGTTCGATTAATTATCATAATTTTGCACAAAATGATGTTCATTTAATCCAAGTATACAATTTTTGATATTAAAAATTTCAATAAAATTTTAGTTGCAACACAATCACTTGGTATACCTAAATACATTATTGGAAAAGTACGGTTTCAAAGCACAGAAGTTCCAGTGGAAGCAAAATGTGAGATTATTTATACTTAAATTTACATTTAATAAATATTTCTGCTTTGTAATAGCACATTTTGAAAATCATATAATAGAACAATATTATTACTTTTTTTTTTTTTAATAACCTCGTAAATCATAATGTAACAAACAATTACAATGGAGCATAGGGGTTATAAAAATTTATATTAATTATAACTTTGACGATTTTTAAGCATTATTTTGTATCAATACTTTCTACTAATATATGAAAATTTGTCAATAATTTAATAAAAAATGTTGATAATTGTGAAAAATCCCTGAATAAAATCAGAAGAGGTTAAACTCTTCTAGACCCCCTTAAAAATTTAAACAAATCAAAATTAGCCCACCGAAAAATTCTTAACTAACTTCATTTATTTATATGTTGTAAATTTAATTAGTAATTTGTGTGTTCGATTGTTCTTATAGTGACTGTTAGACAAGTGAATGAAGTAGTGAAACAAAATTTAGTTGATTTTGGAAAATATATTGCCGAGTGCTTACCAAAATATGTTCAAAAAGTTCAAATAGCAACAGGAGATGAATTAGAAGTGCTTATTGCACCAGAAGGTGTTGTACCTGTTTTGCAATTTTTAAAGGATCATCATAATTGTCAATTCGCTAACTTGTCAGATATCTGTGCTGTTGATATTCCACAGCGACAAAATAGATTTGAGGTAAAAAGTAATAGTAATAATTTTAATTATCTTATTAATATATAAAATTTTATAAATGTATTATGAATATTATTTATAATCATATTGAAACAGGTGCTTAGTACCCCTAGAGTTCTAACAACTTCAGTTTTTTTGCGGTAACAAGCTAAACAAAAAATTTTAATCATTTTTAATGGACTGTAAAATAATTTTAGCACCTCCAAGATTTTTATTGGATGTGTATATTTGCTTATAATAATTGTGTAGATTAAGTCTATTCTTTTATTTTAATTGTAGTTTTAGTAATTACTTAAGAATAGCATAAATTTACGTCAATTAATCTTTAACATATAGGACTGCTTTTTTCATTTTCTATTTTTTACTTATAGATAGTATATAACTTACTTTCTGTTCGCTACAATGCAAGAATACGAGTAAAAACATACACTGATGAATTAACTCCTGTAGATTCTGCTACAGCTATTTATGAAGGAGCCAACTGGTACGAAAGAGAAATATGGGATATGTATGGTGTATTTTTCAGCAACCACCCAGATTTAAGAAGAATTTTAACAGATTATGGTTTTGAAGGTCATCCATTCCGTAAAGATTTCCCATTGTCTGGTTATGTTGAAGTATGTGATAGTAAAATGACATACATATTAAAGATTTTATATTAATTATTATAATTGCCTTAATTACATTCAAGTTAGTTAAAATTAATTAAATTTCCATTGAATATATAGGTAAGGTATGACGATGAAAAACAAAGAGTTGTTGTAGAACCATTAGAAATGACACAAGAATTTAGACGTTTCGAATTATCCACGCCATGGGAACAATTTCCAAACTTTAGAAATGCTCCTCCTCCAGTTGAAGAAGTTCCATTGGAAAAAGGGCAAAAATAGTTACAATTTACAGCCAAAAAGTAATTACAATTTTTAAAATAATAACTTTATTTTCTAAAATATAATTACATCATATTTACTTAATACATAAACTATAAAAAATATTACAACATTGTATTAGTATACATAAAGGAACAAAGTGATAATAATTAAAAACTTAAAGGGTCAGTTTTCAGTTTAGAAACTTTTTTAATAGATAAATTAATGGAATCTTACTCAAAGATTTCTTCAATATTAATATTTCTCCAAAATTAAAATTAATTATCATATTTATGATCAATAAGTGTACATATTTAGTGAAAAAGAAATTAATTTTATATAATACTTATTAAAAAACATTGTTAGAGTGATTTTGTATTATATAATTACTCATTTATGTGTACATTAATTAGATAAAATTCTAAGTGTCATACATATTAATGCTACTAAAATAATTTTGGTTTAGTAGGATAAACCTAGCATATTTTTATCAAGTAGTTTTTGCTGAGTAAAATATTAAACAGTAATTTAATAACTATTCAAAATAAATTAAGCTTATGGCATATGTTACCAATTTGAACAATGATTTATTAATGTTGTTATATAGTTTAATACTGACTTGGGCTAGATAGTTTTCTAACCAAGTATTTTATAAGCTTCTTATGTGCTTAGTGCGTCTTACTAATAGACAACATGAATTTAAATTTACTGCTTCACATTTTAAAAGCTCAGATATATCCACTGATTGCAGAGAAAAATCAGAAATTTTTTCAGCTAGAACCTAAAAATAATAAACTATAGAGAGATTTTATTTTTTTTTTAAAAAATAATTCATTACACTGAAAGATTGTGGTATTTCTTTAGCAGATCGATGAAGTAGTGTACCATTTATATACAGGACATTAGCTGCTTCATCTTCTGGCAATGTTATAATTTGATAGCTATATGTAGCTTCACGTTCTAATCGCTATACATTAGAACATAATAAGTTAATTTATTATAAAAAATAAAAATTAACTACATATAATTACTTTAAGAACATCTTTTGTTGCACTGCTTGATCCTACACACATTAGATCTGGTCCTGCCATTGAAACAATTGTTTTCAAGTGTTTATTTTCCATGATCTAAAATATAATTATATTTTTAACGTTTTATAATTTATAAAAAGTATAAAATTAAGCATTTAAATTTGTTCAAATTTAAAATTACTTTAATTGGAGCACAGGGATATTCAGGAAATGCAGATGCTACTGCACATGCTCCTGATTCATTTGTCCATTTTGTTATTCCAATGAAAAATTCTCTACCTAAAAGATGTATATTATTCAGTTTTAAGGATATGAAAGAAATTTGATTGCTACTTAAATAGTTGTAGAATGAATATCATTCAGTAAAATTATTTAACAATAAATTATTAATTTTTAAATTATAATAATAAAATATAAATTGAATTATTATGGTAAAAATTCATATTATGTTGAATAATAAAGTGTTGTTTAGGCTTAAGGGTGAGTAGCACATTCATTATTTTTAAAATTCGACTAATTGAAATAAAACTGAGTATTCAGTGGAGTGTTTTTAATAGGATAATAAAAGTTGTATTATCCTAAAAATATTTATATAAGATGATAATTTTATTTACATACAGTTTTTAAGAAAACATTATTACCATCTATTTAGTTTAATTTTTTGTGCTTTGTATTGGTTGTAATGAAAAATAACTGATTACAAAATCAAAAGGGACGAACTCTGAAGTTGATCAGCATGTATGTCAGCATTTCTCAACCTGTGGTACATGGAAGTTTATATTAACTAAGTTAAGAAAATCTATAACTATAATAAATAAATTATAATCTGTAATCTAAGTAATGCGATTTATTATTATAAAATATTCCATAATTATTTTTTATAATGATATTATACAAAAGTAGATTTTCTTAACATACACCTTAAAAAATTTCATGCAGCACAGTTTAAGAAATGCTACTCTATATTATGTTTTAAATTAACTCTAATATATAGTACTGATTATTTATTATTAAAATAACATGACATATTTACTTTTTAAAATGTAATTAACATTTTATCTAAATTTATTTTGCAAAATTACTTGATAATGGTTTACTTTATTAAAATTTGCTATTCCTTTGATAAGTTCTTTATTATTATTATTCATAACAGAACAAGATTAATACATTTCTTAAGTAAGTTAGAGGGGAAGTGTTTTATTTTAAAAATTAAATTTCAAAATATTGTCATAGAATATATATTTTTATAGAAAGTATTATGTTTATATAAATAGGATGAAATAAAAACTTTTTTTGGCAATTATGTTAAATTTGTGTTAACTTACTATTTTAGTTATAAAAAAATCTAAATATTATATTAAAACATTGTTTTACCATACTTCAATTAGATTTTTAGTCATAGAAACATCAAAAATACTTATTTTTGATTTACTATTTCAAAAAAAAAAAAATGTTATTATAATGTAATAATTTACCTGTAAATAAAATATCACTTCCATGTAATTTTGCAGATTTGTCAGCAACCTCTACAATAGGCAATCCAATTTCTTTCTTTAGTACAGATCGTATAGTTTCTACCTGTTAATCAATTATCAAGAGATGTCATGTTTTATTTCATTTTATTATTTGTAAGCATTTTATGAAAGAATGTAAAATAAATAAATTATTTTGAAAATAAAATTATTAGCATGTTTGATTAGCAACTTTAGTTAAAATTTTATCATTTATAACTATTGAAAGTATAAAAATATTAACATATTTTCATTTTTCTATTTTATCTTTTAATAATTGTTTAAAAATAATGATTATTATTTTATATTAAAAGTATCTAAAAATATTTACTTCTTTTGCTCTTTCGGGTTCAACTGGTTTAGTTAATATTGCAGTTCCATTACATACAAAGGCTGTATCATCTACAAAAGCACACCAAGGTGTAGTTTCATCTGGTGGCATTTCTATCACATCAAGCCCAATGTCCCTTAATGTTCGGACATAATTTTCATGCTGACGTTTAGCCCTATCATAATCTAATGTAGGTTGATGCTCTTTAAGAGAATGTGGTACTCTACAAACTACTGCATGAGTATAACGAGTACTTGGCATTATAATTTATTTTCTCTAAATTTATTTTTAATTTATAAATTAATATTTTTGTTTTAAAATGAAAATATATATATATATATATATATATATGGCCTAGAAGTTTAAAATTGAAGGAATTATACATAAAGCATTTGTATGATATTAATATTTATCTGATAAGTATTAAGATCACTGTTGTGCATAGTTACTGGGCTTTATGTATAAAATGTAGTGTTGCCAATTAAGGCAAATAAACTATGGTGTGGACATTATTTTTTACTGTTTAATTTATATAGGCTCATTTCAAACATAATGCAATTTAATAATAAAAATGTTTTTTTTATGAGGATATAAATTTAATAATATGAATCTAATGCTTAACGCCATAACTTTAGACACTATTGATTTTCTTGGATACTAAAAAATTTATGTAGCACATCTATCTCGCCCAAGCTTCAATCAATGTTTTTGGAATTGTTAAATTTAACTTATTTTAAATGATAAGAACAATGTTTTCATATACCTTTTAAAACTTTTATAAAATTTTAAGGAAACGAAAATAACTATAGTATTTTATTTTAGAGTCGATTTTTTTTTATAATCACTTAAAGAAGGGACAAGTAAAGAAAATTCATCTATTCATTTGAATTTATCAAATCATGATAAATTTGGTGATTATACCCTTCTAGGATTGCCTCAAAGATCTTTAATATTGTTTTACTCATAGAAGAAGATATGCTATTGCACAAATAGTAAAATATTTTCTCAATTACACTTTAATTTAATTAAACGAAAACGTGACTGTAAATTTAAAACTTCTAAAATATACTTTAAAATGTGATCATGTATTTATTTTTCTTATTCATGAATTTCTTTATATAGAAATTTACAATACATTTTATAAAATGAAGAAAATAACATTGATTATATCATAAGTTTTATTTATATTATCTTTAAATAATTATTTAAAAATATAAAATTATAATTATATACTGAAACTTGAATACTAAAATCACATTAACAGTCTATTAAAAACACAGTGTTCAATGGTCGAAATATACATGCAATATTTTTGATTCAATAAAATATATTTATTTAAATTATTAATATTAAAATTCCATTCATAAAAATATTTGATTATGTATTGTTCATTTAAATTTAAACATGGAATTATAAAACTCGCAATTCTTTTGATCATGTTAGGGTTACAAATTTAAAGTACTCTGTAAAACCGAGAATCATAATTTCAATCAAGTTAATGATTTAAAATTATGAACCTAACAATTAAAAAAATTAAAAATACATTTTGTACTTAATATTATAAATTCAATTGCACATTAAAAATTTTCACAATTCAACTTAAAAACAGAAGTCAAAATAGCACAATTATATTAATTAAAAGTATAGTATAAGTAATCTTATAGTATTTAAAAATCAACAAAAGCCTTAGCATTTTACATTATAATATGTATATATATATATATATTGTAAATTTTTCAATGCAAATTAATAATAATATAGAATCTCAGTGATAATTATAATAATATTTAAAGATTATAACATAACAGTGTCATATCAGTAATCATACAGCTGTTGATTTACATGTAACAAGAAGAGGTAGTTGGTACATTTGGTGTGTACAGATTAAATTTATGATTTTTAAAATTCTTCCCATATAACATGGTAATATCTGTGGTTGTAATTGAGTTATTCATCAAGGCATACAGTACGCACAATTACTTCAGCTACTTTATAGGGATCACAATTAGACGCAGGTCTTCTATCTTCTAAGTAGCCTTTCTTGTCTTCAGCACAACCACGTGGAATACGTATACTTGCTCCACGATTGGCAACACCTAAAAACAGAAAATTTTTTTATTTATAAATAGATTTCGGACTTACATGCATTTACAAATTTTATTTGAGCCATTTTAAAAGGACCTAAGTTAATGCAACTTTGTTTCAACTATAAAGCATTTGAAATTATTTAACAAAATTTATAAATGCATTAATATCCGGACTCTATTTATAACTATTCTTATAGACAATTTATGATCTTATAATTTAATTATTAAAAATCTTTAAAACACTGACCAGCTGAAAAATCATGGATAGAAGACGTCTCATGTTTACCAGTTAAACGTCTTTCATTATCTCGACCTTCATTGGGATCATATGCTCGGATATGTCTCATGTGCTGTTTAGATAGCTTATCAATGGCTTTTTCAATTTCACTGAAAATAAAACAGTATAATTTTATATCATTTTTAGCTAATGTATCATAAATAGTTATTATACATGATTCCATTATTTTCTCTCATGGCAGCTGTAGAAAAGTTGCAATGAGCTCCTGCACCATTCCAGTCCCCTGGCACTGGTTTGGGATCAAGTGTTACCACAACACCAAATTCTTCAGCAACACGATGTAAGATGAACCGCGCCATCCATAAATGATCACCAATACTAATACCTTCACATGGACCAACTTGGAATTCCCACTGAAAATTAATTAAGTTGTTGATTTTCTTCTTAAAGTAAACATTTTAGCTTTAGTTTTAAAAATTTTTAAAACTTAAAACTATGATATTAATATTATTGAATCAAGGCCATCTACAGGACTTAATTGAAAATGCATTGGACATCGGTATATGGATACTGAGGTTAACTTCCATTATGTTGAGCTATGAAGATTTTACCTTCTTTATTTAAGTAAATGCTTTTAGAAGAGTATGTTAAATATGAACAAACAGCATGATATAATTTGTATTTTTAAACATTTTTATAAATTATAGTGATGTTAAAAATAATTATAAGCCACCAATGTTCACATTGAGTTACAAGCATTTTATTTAGAGTAGGTAAGTAACACAAGTTGGTGTTTTATTTATAATGCACACTATATCCTCATAATACACCCACTCTATGTATAGAGATTATAATAATGCTTGTATTTAATAACTATTTGTCAACAAATTATTATTGAACCATTAAAATAAATTAAAAGAATAGTGGCAAAACCGGTTATTTTACATTTAAAAAAATGTTTATTAAAAATAAATAATAAAAAATATGATTTTAGCAGTTAGAATGCATAAAAAAAAAATCATAGAAAAATGTTTGTTGTATTAAAAGTTATAAATCTTCAGTTAAATCAGTTTAATCTTGTATTTATAAAATTTCAATCACCTGAGCTGGCATAACTTCAGCATTTTCTCCAGAAATATTGATACCCGCATATAAGCATGCTTTGTAATGAGCCTCAACAATATCTCGCCCATAAACTTTATCTGCTCCAACACCACAATAGTATGGACCCTATTAAAAAATTAATCAATTAAGTTTTTTAATAAGAAAATAAAGTATAATTCCTTTTTATAATTTGTAATTATTTTACCTGAGGTCCAGGAAATCCTGTCTTCGGCCATCCAAAAGGTTTTCCATCAGTATCTAACAAGGAATATTCTTGTTCAATACCAAACCATGGCTTTTGATCTGCTGCTTTTTTCATTGCTTCTAAAGCACCTTTACGGTGATTGGTTTCTGTAAATTATAAAATAAATATATTAAATAATGTAAACAAATTTATACTGTGTTATTTTCAAATCCTTGAGTAAATATGGCCAAAATTAAATATTTTAATTTTTTGTTAATAAAAAATTTTTAGAATCTAGCACGTTTTTTTAAAGGTAATTTTTTTAATTAAATTACTTGTATAATAATAGAATAAATTGTTGGTATTTAGGAAAAACTATCTAAGTCAAAAATTTGTAAAAATGAGTTTATGTTATATAAAATTAAAAAAAATCATATATCTATATTGATGAAACAATACAAATCATTTAACAGCTGTATTATATTATATTTTACACACTTATTATATTAATGCCATCTCTCATACATACAATGCCACAGTGTCAACCAAAATTAGTATCCTTATTTAATATATTTTTCAAAAAAAATACATTTTAAGCAAAAAAAAATGTATTTATATATTTTAGCACCCCTCAAATGTGTGGCACTTCCCTAGGGCCCTACTTGATCCCATTGTTTCTTTTAGGATAAAAAGTTGGCTCTCTAAGGGCCACTTAATATTGATCCAATAAAAACTGTTGACTCAGTAATTTTGCCACAAGTCGTACCACTTTATCATTTTATTTTTTTAAGTAAAGCACGTAACCAAATGTTTTTTATACATAAACTCTAGAACATGTGTTCATTAAGCTGACACTAGAAAATATGTTTGAATTCTACAAGGGTATATTTGACTCAATTTTGAATAATTTTTTTAGAAATCGATAACTAATAAAAATATTATTATAATCAAATTTAACTCATTTCAATTATAAGTAATTCAATTTTAAATGTGCTTCCGCTAAGACTAAATAAAAAACAATTTTTTATTCCTACTGTTTAGGTTGAAATCAACTAATTTTAATTTCAAGTCACTATTAAATACTTTGCATTTACCAGTGGGAGTATGATTATGTTTATATGCTTCACACATAACGAGTTTGTTTGGTGCTAATCTGAACGGGTCATTAAACATTGCAACAGGATACAAATACGTGTCAGAATTTTCTCCTTGTGATTGGTAAGTAGAACTACCATCGTAATTCCAAACTGGAAGGTCTGAAACACCAAATCCGCGATAAAATGAGTGTAATTTATTACAACAATTATTTTTTAATTTTAGAGGTCTATTAAGCTCTAAAATAAAATGGTTTTTCAATTTTTAACGAGAAAATATTTTAATCACTAAGTTAATGTTAATCATTAGGAATACAGATTATACTTAAATTATATTTTGTGAATAAAATTATGTATCTGTTGGTTTATTATATACATTTACGTAAATTTTGTAATAGAACTGTTAATGATTTCTAATAAAATTTAAATTATTTATTTAAACAGTGCCAATAAATTGGCGTGTGGTTGAATATACATTAACCATGAATATTTATTTTATTGAATAATCACTTATAAAATTATTGGATAATAAATTTGATAATTCAACGCAGGTTTAATATCTAAATTATGATTGAAATAAATTTTATTTATAAATGATCTCATTTTTGATAACCAACTCAATTATACAAGCGGTGATCCATTTGTAGACCTTGAATATAAATTAATTGTAATTGAGCGTGTAAATAGAATACGTTTAGAAACGTCACTATAACTAACACATGTAATATTATTGTTATGAACCGTAGGAAAATAACAAATTATTTACATTGCAGGATATCCTAATCCCATTAAACTAACAGCAAAACAAAGTAGAACATAAAAACAATTTATTGGGTAAAATTAGAATCACCACAGATTATAACGCAGAGAAATATTAACTAAAATTGTAATACAACTACTTAGTAGTATATTCAATGAAAATGATGTTTAATTAAATTAAATTATATTAATAGTGTTTACCTTCTATTTTAGTGGGAATAAAATCTAATGTCCTGGATTTGGCTCTGAGATTTTGTCCAGTTCCATCGATCCACACATACATAGCCATAATTTTATCCGAAGGTTGTGGCAATTGTTGAAATCTAGTTGCTACAGTTTTGTTGATGACATAGTTAGGGGATGTTTCCAATAATCCGTTACCCGGCATGATTGCTCTATAGAAACAACAATATAAATGTTTATAATTTATATATAGTTTATAATTATTTATTTATATAACAGTGGCGAAGAGTTGTTTGTTTTTATTCCGATTAAATTTATATACAAAAATCTTAATGCAATAGGGCGAGTAAGGTAAGAGAATGGAGTAATTATAATTCATTATTTGTCTCAGAATACTCTGCAAATTTACTTTAGTATGAGAAATTTTATTATTTTAATGTAATTTAAATTTAAAAAGACGTAGCGTCACATTTAAAAAATGTACTTATAATATATTTACAAAATCGCTCATTAAAATTTATCCCGTAGAATTATAATTTGTAATATATCCAATTTATTTTTAAATATAATAATTGTATCTAAATTATTTGTTCATTTTATCTATGATAATATAATTATCGTAGTAAAAATGAAGAACAAATAAATAATCAAAATTTTATCAAATCTTGTACAAAGATTGGGTATATAAAATTATTATTAAAAATTTGTTAAACATACTATTATCGCAATAAATCATGCAATTTGTATAAAAAAAGAATTAGTGAAGTAATACAAAAGTTTATTTGAATTTATCATAAACTGATTATGATATAATGAGGAAGATAGAAAATTCTTTATATTTGTAATATAAGTGTTCTATATCCAATATGTAATGAAATCATTAACTATGATGTCGAAATAATCAAAAGAAATAACTTAAATTGCGAAGAAAATAAATTAGTAACATCGGATAAAATTATTCATATAATATATAACATATAATTCGTTGTACACAATATTTTTTAAAAACATTAATCAAAGTTTTCATTCAAATTGTAAATATTAATAACTCGTTAGAGAATAGTATTATTCAGCGAACACGTTCATAGTATTTATATAGTCAATACGATGTGCTGAACCTATGCATTCAATTTTCTACATACAATGATAAAAGTGATAATATTACTAATAATGACATTTTGTCATATGGCAAACATCGCGTCATGTGCGGACAAGGTCATAAGTGAACCGTTTATTATTGACTACGACCTAGAAACGTGTTTTGTGAATATAGTAATAATTCAATAATGTTACAACAAACTAAGAACAAAAAATGCCATATAATATAACGCCTGTAATAAAGCTAAAATATTTGCAACTCGGTTATAGAGCATAATATACTTGTATACGAATATGTAATAATAACAGATACATTATTAAAATATTTTAATCTACTTACCTACAAAAGGATATTTATGTAATTTCTTTGAAATGCTGACAGTTTTATTATTTAAAGATTATAATTATTATGATATAAAAAGTGTAATATACAAGAAAAGTTTTTGTTTAGCAACTATGTACAAGCTATAGATGTTTTTGAGGGTTGTAATATAGGAACTAACGTGCGGGAGAGATGTACTATGGTGGCGCCATTTATTGATTGCAAGGCATAATTTCTACATGCGAAGTCCAAAACGGGCTAACAAAAGTTAATGGAATCGGTGTGATATACATAACGTCCATGCACATTAATGAATTATATACTGCCAACAGGCTTCAACTTCATTAAACATTTAGTATGTTGACGTTATATAATACATAGATGCATCACACTAGTGTACCAATACAATTGTTAAAATTACTTTTCTCCCAACTAATAATATTTTATTTAATAAATTAATAAGCTTAAGATAACGTTTTTTCTTTGACAAATTTATTATGATACCATAAATACTATGCGAATAAAAAACATTGTTTACGTAGTTTAGTATGTTTATAATAAAAATCTTAAATTAAAATAGAAAAAACAAAATTTGATAATAACTATGTCTTAATAACGATAAAAGAAAATCCAGTTGATATAATACTAAATTTTAAAAATTATTTGTGTGAACAAAAATTGATAAATTTCATTTTAGTTATTAATTTAAAAATAAAGAGTTTATAATAAATAGAGCAAATAAATAAAACGTTTTTAACAAATAAACTTTAAAATAAAAAAACTATAAATTGTTTTACTTTTGATTTTATTTATTTGTATTGTAAAAATCAACGAAAGTTTATAATACGAATTTTTAAACATTTTTTTTATGATACATCAAATTGTCAATAAACTTTTTCATAATAAAGAATGTTTTTGTTTGACATAACTTAAAAAATTCCAGCATATCTATATTTGAAAATAGACGTACATTAAAGAAAAAACTTGAGAACTAGATTAATTTTTTCTTCAATCTAAAAGTATTTTTATACAATTCATATAATTTTCTACAAATTTTACACTATGATTGTTGTAAATGTTGTAATGTAATTGTTGCAAGTGTTGTAAATCGTATTCTTATGGTTTCTATAAATGAACAAATTTCAAATCCCCTTACTTTTGCTTGATTTTCCAGTAAATAAAAAAAAATTTTTATACTTTACTTGTGTATATACACATTATTTATGCGGGAGCGTGTGATTTCATTGTCCCTTATTTATTTTTATTGTCATTGTATAAAAATAACTAACAAATAATAGGCGAAACTAGAGAAATTAGAGTACTATATACCTAAAAAACTGAAAATTAACTCGGATAACAGTCTGATTATATGACAGGTTTGATCAATTTTTTAAAATTTCAGATAAAATAGCTAATCCACTAATATTTTTATGATTTAGCTGACCATTTTAAAATACCTTGACTTTTACAGGTTTTCCAAAATTATGCAATCATGGTTTTTTTTTTAATTATGGTGAAATGAACAAAACTTTATACTGAAATTTAAAATAAAAATTGATCACTTGTGGCTAATATAATTTTAAATTAAAATTATATTAAAAATATTATTCATTTAAAACTAAAAAACACGAAACTCAAAAAATCGTTGAGTTTAAAATTTAAAAGTTGGAGCTATAATTTTATTTATAAATACATTTTTTGTAATGATGTACTACTAACTTTTTACAACCGGTTTCGGTTTCTTTATTTTTTAATTATTATTTTGAAGCGTTTCTTACTCACAAATGGCATAAAAAAAATAATTACTAGATAAAAAACTGCAAAACCTCCACGAATTTTTATTAAAAATACAGAATACTAGTCAAACTGGACGAGATTTTATAATTTACCTTAAGGTAAATGAATAATGAAAATAAGATAATAACTTATATTAAACTCTTGAAGAGAAAGCTAAGTGCGATAATCATAAAAAAACAATTTGCGTCGTTTAAATGATTTCCATTACAGATATTGAATCTAAAAAACAAACTTTAAACTACGAATATAACTAAAATGAAATTTTACCACAGATCATATAAATTAACATAAAAAAAATTTAATAGTTTAAAGTACTTTAAAAACTTGTATATAAAAATATCTTACAATTTTTTACATAATCATACACTTGTAATAAAATGTATTGTTTTTTTCGTAATATTCACAAAAATTAAAACTAATAGACATCATTAGTATCATATTATATAAACAACGACGACTTTTATGAATTTTCTTAATGACCAATTAAATATATGGTCTCTATTTTTAATTATGTTATAATAGATAATTTAAAAAAAGTAGAAACATAGAAGTATGATTACATTTATAATTGGAACAAAGGAAAACAAAATTATAATAAATATAATTTTTAATAATAGTTTTTAATTTATCAATAGTAATTTTCATCCAGACAAAAAAAGATAAATGGCCGAAAAGTTATAATATTATTTATAATAGAAATAATGAAAAGAAAATGTTTAACTATTTTTCTTAATAAGTGTCATATTGCAAAATTATGAATAAATACAAAAAAACTAATAACTAAAAGAGCTATAAGTGGACATTTAAATAGTATATCTAATGCTCATTGTTATTTTAAAAAGAAACTTTTATAACTAATAATTATGATATTTTAAGAGTATTTATGGATTTTAAAACTAACATGACGTCTTCTAGTTTTTTTACACGTAGCGCAGTTAACCCTATTTGATTATTGATTACGCACAAAAAGATAACATTTTTTTTTATTATTGTCTAATTAAAACTGTCTTATCTATTCACTTTTATAACTTTATTACATGCCAATTATGGTATGAAAGTAAAGGCACTTGTATATTTAATTTCATTATTAATTGTAATAAGTTTAGTACTTTTTTTTTAACATTATAAATAAAATTAAACATTATTATAAAAATATTTGAAGACATTCAGTATAATAAATTGAATTTCATTCTTAAAGTTCGATTTTTGAGAATAACGTTTGATAACCTTCAGAAAAAAAATCATAGGCAGTTAAATCCAATTTTATGTTTCTTAGTTTTGGCTGTAAAACGATTGTTAAAGCATAATGCTTTTAAACGAATGGTTAAAATATTGTTTAATTTTTATATATTGTTTTTAGTTGGTAAATTAATTATTATAACACTTTTACACTTATTTAATATAGATATATGATGGTCTACACAAGTATAAATTTTTGATTAAGCTTCAAATTATCCAAAGAGGTTATGAAATTAAAAAAGTGAAGTATCGTTAAGGTAATGAATCTTTTATTAAAGTTTGATGAACTTTGTATCTGTTCAAATTATTGTATAAATACTAGAAAAAAAGTTTTTAGATATGCTTCACAAGGCAGTATAAAAAATGTCGTAGTAGTAACATTGCTTCACTATTAGAATACGCAAATCCTCATACTTATACCTCTTAATTCGCCGCTGCTTGTAAATGAGTGTATGTCTTGTGAATATTTTATGAATTCAAGTTTTGATAAGATACTTATGATGCATACGTGTAATCATAAGGGACATGTAAAATAATATTAGCAGATTTTAATGTAGTCGTATTCTGTTTACTCACTATGTTAACAAAAACTTACAAAGATAATTAGCAATTTTACATTCGTTCACATAAATATTATATTCTTCATATAATCCTCTACATTCAAGAATTAGAGAAACATTAATGATTTAAGTATTAGTTTATCACCCAAAAATGATTTTATACAAATCATACACAAAGTCGTGTTTAGATAGCTAAAGGGTAAAATATGTCTACTCTTCAAAAATCTAATGACACAATTCAATATCAGTTATATTTTTGAGTCTCTGACCATATGAGTTATTAAATATTAGATGATTTTTCATTTTTCCACGCTATATAAGACGTAACATATATATAAACCAAATAAAGAATTTTTAATTGTTAATATATATTGGTTTGTGTACGAATATAAATACATACCAAAATTGATAAATATTAAAAAGGTTAATACTTATTAACACATCCATGGCTAAGCTTTTATTGAACAAAAAGTATATGCATTTAAAACAATTAAAGAAGTAAAAATCCCGCCCCTTTCAAAGCTAATACATAATCTGTACTTTAAATAATTATATAGAAGATAAAATTTTTAGCAATTTTTAAATATTTCAATTCACCTACATACAATAATCATTTAATATTAATCTATCATTAGTTGGACTTCTAAATAAATATGAGTTTTTAATGCTATAAGTATACGTTAATTTAATTTGAACAACTAATCAGAATCATTAAAATAAAATTAATTTGTTGATAATAGTATAACAAGATTCCAAAAAGTTCTTAACTGTTAAGTTTAGTGGAAATGTATAAATAATAAAAATATATTAATAATTATGTTTGTATGTTCATGATCCATGTAAGGTTATCAAAAATAAATAAAATACGTCAATAAGGTATGATATCCTATTTAAAATGTATAATAAAATTATACAGTTATAAATACTGTATAATTTTTCATTTTATTTGTATTTTTAACTAAATATGTACTGTTTTTAATCGTAAATTAATTAAATTCGATTTTCAATGGAAAAAGTTTGATATTAAAATTATATTTATTAGAAATCGCGTTTTTCTACATGGACAATATAAATTGTTCAAATGATATTTGAATTATTAAGATATATATTATTTGTTTTTCTAAAAATATACAAACATTTTTTAAGTATTATGAAACTATCTTTCAGTTTCTATAGTAACATTATTACAGATTTCTTCTTCTCACTTTGCTAAATTTATATAACTGTAAATAATATCTAAAAAATTTTAATTTATTATAAACCATTAGTATTCTTGACATTTTTTATTTTACGTGACATTACCTTTCTATATAAAACATGTTTTCTAAAGTTTATTAGATATTTATTTTAATCAAAAGACAAATGTTTAGTGTAAACATCCGAATTTTCTTATCACTGATCGTTTCTATTATTATTAAATCATTTGTCACAACGATTTATCATGTTATAAAGTTCAATGTACATATTCAATCCATTAATAACATTATTCGCTATTTAATTTTTTCAATATGTAATACTAATAACAATAATATAATTTACATAATAATTTATGTAAATATCAGTAGCGGATAAGTAATTTTTTTCAGCTATTCTTATTAAACAACAATTTGCGAGAGTAATATTTTCATCGAGAAATTAAAAATATTAGTTTAAACGATTTTATTAACTTATCAAAAAAATTGTTTTTTTTTTTAATCACGAAAACAATTTTTTTTTTAATTTATGATTTAAGATCATTAAAATATGAAAAGATAAAACAAATATATACTTGAATTATAATGAAAAATTTGGCGAATAACATTTATAAGTTATTTTTATAAACAAAACACTTGAAAATGTGATAATGATCAAAATTCTAACAGCGTTTCATTCCAGTTAATCAGAACAGTACTTGAGTGAAATAATATAAACCAAAATTTGAGATTATTTCTACAGGTGTCAACTATATAAAGTTTATAGTTTGATTTGATAAATAGAAATCTTTATAAAAAGGTATTTGATAAAATAAATTTAATTAGAATAAAAAATAATATGTTAACTAAGTGTTTTATTTCTTTACAATTTTTTACTTGTGTTGATGTAGTATTTTTAAAACACAACGAATCGTTTTATTACGACATTCAAGACAAAGAAACAAAAAAAAAAAAAACACGCTCTTGAACTGATTTGCTTCATAATGATAAATACAGAATAAGTGACTAACTTATGTACGTAATTTATAACAGTTGGTCTAACGCCAGAACAATATAATTCTATTTATAAAAAAAATCTTAGAAATAGAAACGAAGTTACAATGATAACAAAATAAGTACAAAGACAAACTGCTTGAATTTAAACAAAATTTTACTTTAATATATATTTAACAAGTTAATATTGTCGAAGTATAAATGTAAGCTTATAAATGGTACAAATAAATTTAATATCAACATATTATTTTTACTTAATATCTTTGAAGTTTGTTAATAATAGATTTTATAAATTTCAAGAAGCAAATTTAAAATTTAAATTATGTGTAATAATATGATAAGACAGTACTTACGCTTGATCGGAGATGTGCTGCTGTGAACGTGAAAACGCTGACTGTCAGGTAGTTGTTATGGACAAGTCAAGTTAAGAGAAAAACCACTTGTTGATTACATATAAAATTTATTACACACACCAAATACAAGCGCTGTATTATTAGTGAACCGAACAAAACAATTTTAATTATTAACTGTTGTTTTCCTGCTGCATTTACTATGCAACATAAATGTTTAAAATTGATAAATTACAGTACTGTCGTAAATTTTAAATCAAGTTTTACTTGATATAATTATGCAATTTTTTTTACTTATTTTGAAAAAAAGCCTTAATGTTAAAATAATTCTTATGCTGTACCCAATAAATAATTATAATGGTAGTTGTTAATTTTTTTAGTTATTTTCTAAAGTATTCTGTAGCATTCAAGGCCTTGAAAATACGTAAAAATACTTTTAACTATTATAATTTTTAACTATACTCAAAAAACTTTTGAACGTGATTTTTTTAATTAACAGAACCTATTTAAATGTTATAAAAATTTGTTCAAATATGTTTTCAAAAATGTTATTTTTACCATAAAAGCTTAGGAGATTGAGACTACGCCTATGTATATATGAGTGTTTTTCATTAGTATCAATTTTTATATTATTATAGTTTTTACTATGTCGGGTTCTGCCTTGCTCTTATTTTTTTAGCTATACACAATCAGAGGTATAACTAAAGGAGATAAGTGGGTTAGTTTGTCTCCTAAAATTATTTAAGTCAGTAACAAGATATTTTTTTAAATATTATAATAGGCTACAAAGACTTGATATACATTTATAGTCAGCCAAATCAACATAGTTGCTCTTTTAAAAAAATTACTTCGCTATGCCATTGCATACAATCCTATAAAATTATAGTATATTAGTATGTTTTAGGAGAATTCTCTTTTCAAACCATATGTGCTAACTCTACATTTTTTACTTATCGTTCATACTAGTATTGTGTGTTTCTGAAGTTAAAAATTATTTTAATAAATTAATTAGATTATATTTCTGTAATAAGTGTGTAACTGGTAAGTTTAAGTTATATTGTTACTAATGTTCAGAACTAGAATATGCAATATGCATATAAATATTTAAATATTAGCTTCGATGCGAAGCTGAGAAGGTATTAATTTTACTATGATGTGTTATTTATTTTTTTTGTGTCTGTGAACGCTCAATCTCAGCTCTCGCTGGACCGATTTTGATGAACAATACATCAAAGATCACAAATCGTATCTAGTCGAAGACGTTACCCTCAAAAATTGAAAATATTTCTCTCGTTCCCTATAAATAGGGGAAATCCCCCAAAAAATTACAAATTTATTTATATTATTCAATTAAATTTTATCTAAAAATGTTTAATTACTATGATATATTTTATATTAATTTAACTCTTATACATTTATTTTACAATTTAATTGAATGAATCCAGTAAAATCGGTGGCTATTTTAAGAGAAAGCAAAATGATATGTGCTCCATCCATTGCTGCAATCTTATACTAACATAAACATTTTTGTTGACTTTTTTATTTAATTATAATGAGCTCAAAATGAGTAAAAAATGAGTTAAAAGTTTTCATAGTTGCTTGTCAGTTTAAAATTTTATTGTTTTCCTTTAGTGAATCTCATTATAATTATTACTGGTATAAATTATTTAATTTAAATAAATTTCATATGTAACATATAAATAAATTATAAAAAATAATGTTCATTGCAATTTAATATTTTTTTTTTTGTTATAAAAGTAATGTAATTTCATTACTCGCCTTAATCCCAACTACTTGGGGTCGGCCACCCTTATCCCAAACTTCCACATCATCTACGTTCACATCAGCTGTACTCATATCGCATTCAATAGCATCCCTCCATCCCTTTTTTGGTTTTCCTCTACCTCTTCTTTCTTCAACATTCATTTCTATAACTATTCTTACAGCTTCCGATTCTCTATCCTCATAACATGACCAAACCATCTAAGTCTATTTTCTCTCATCTTATCCACGATTGACGCTACACCTATACTCCCTCTTATATGCTCGTTCCTTATCCTATCTTCTCTAGTTACTCTACTCATTCATCTAAGCATACTCATCTCTACTACACTCATTCTCTGCTCTATTTTCTTATCAACCGCACAACACTCTAAACCATACATTATAACTGGCCTCACTACAGTCTTGTAGAATAGAAATAAGTAAGGGCTTAAAGCAGAACCTTGGTGCATTCCTACTCTTACCCGAAAATCTTCTATTACTCCTCCTACGCTTTTTACCCTGGTACAAGTGTCATCATATATATCTTCTATTATATTAATATACCTTTTCGGGACTCCACCTTATAATTTCCATACTTCTACTGGCAATTCATCTGGTCCTACTGCTTTATTCTTTTTCATTGATGCCACAGACTTCCATACCTCTTTCTCACTAATTAAATCTACCAGACCACAAGATATCCTCTAATGTCTCTTTTGAGTACTCCTCATTCAGTAATTTTTCAAAATATTCTTTCCATCTTTTTTTCACATCATCATCGAGAGTACCCTATTATCTACACTTTTTATACACCTTATATAATGATAATTTTTAAACCTTTCCTCTCTTACTTTTGCAAGTCTGTAGATTTTTTTCTCATCTTCATTTGTTCCTAGCCTATCATACAACTCATCATACCTCTTAAACTTCGCCTTACCTACTGCACACTTGGCTTCTTTGCACAAGCGTTTATACCCCATCCAATCTTCTCTCCTTTTACTCTTCTGCCATACTTTGAATTGCTTTTTCTTACTTTCTATGATTTTTTGAACGTCCTCATCCCACCACCAGTAATTTCATTACTTGTTATATTCAGTAAATTTAGATTAATTTCTAATACATTAAAAAATTACAAACAAAAAAAATTTATCTAACACTAATACGTAATCAAATTAACATACATATTATATATATTTCCTTATAAATGCTCACAACTAAAATGTGTGTGATTATTTAACACAAATAATTATAATTTAGGTGTAATTCTAATTTACTTTCGCAGTTTTTTGCATTGAATAAATATTATCCTATTATCTCGTGAAAATTAAATTGTATAATATATTGAAAAAACATTTTTTATTTTCAACAGAAGTGAAATAAAATGTTTTGAAATGACTATGAGTATTATTCATTTAGGAGAACAGTGCGCTTTAACCATGCGCGCAAATAGAATGAACACAAGTATAAAATCACATTCTTGTTTTCTATACTCAGAGGATATATTTTAGCAACTGACCGATTATAATTATAGATGCATCCGCTTAATATTGCCAATTGGCAATTTTAATACTTGTAATCCTTAAGGATGTAAAATTTTATTTATTATAATGAATAAGATATAAGTAATAATATTATATTTAATAAGGTATTAAAATAAATACAAACAGTTTTGCTTTACTCTCATAATGTGTTGATACATAACAATATTATAATTTGATTTAGACCCTTGATCCGTTTAAATTATTATTTAGTATTAATTTTGTAACTAGTTCCACTTGGTGTTGATCAATTTTCTAAGTCTATAGAGTGTTCAGTAAGTATAGAAACGGGTTTCTATTGTTTATAACAACTGAATAGTTTCCTTACCTACTAAATACTCGTATATAGACTTATATTTGTAAAAAAAAATAGAAAAGTATATAACCTTTTTTTATTATTTTGTATTATTGCTTAAAAATTAGATTTAAAAATTTTTTTTTCCAAAAAACTGATTTATTGATTAATATTTTTATTCTAATAGAGAAGAAATGTTTAATATTATTGGAGTAAAAATGATCTATTAAAAGCTCAACAAGAAAATTTAATTAATGAAAATAAAGATAATTGTTAACTTAAAAGTATTGAGTTAAAGATCTGAGAATCAGTATTAAAAGTTATTAAAGAAATACTTATACTTCTTCTAGTTATTTTAATACAAATATCTAAAAAAATTATGATATTTTGTAAAATGGAATAAACATTACTTTTATAAAAGTAATATTTAATAATTAGTCCTAATTTTATCAATTAATTTTCATTGACAAAAAATAAACTCTCCCTTAATTGTCACTAGTATTTATTGTGATCAAAGTTTGCTATAAATAATGGGCAACTAAATATTTTAGAAAAATTTAAAGAAATGAACAGTCTACAATACCTTAAGAGCATCTCTTATTACTTGAAATCCATTTTTATCTATAAAAACTAATTAAGCAAATTTTAGAACCTACAAAAGTAGTTTAAGTAAGGTCATTAATTTCTTGTTGCCTCTAAATTTCTACAAAAAAATAAATTTTTGATTTGGTGTGTTATTTATTTCTCATTTTTTAAGATTAAATACTTTTTTTAATCATCCCAAAATAACAACTTATGAATTAGTATTTTTGATGTTAACATTTTTAAATGCAGACTGAAAGCGAGGTGTGGGTCATATTTTTACATATTATATATATCGTAAATAGACCAGTCATATTTTAAAGTTGGATCATTCATTATATGAACTAGTCATATACACAAGTAGCTTAAAAAAAAAGTTGACACTCTTATAAATGATAAGGGATGGATTTATTTAATATATTATTTAATCACTTAAAAAATTTAAATATAAATATAATCTAAATAAA